CCCCCCCCCCAATTCCCACCAGCCCCCCCCTACCTTATAAAAAATGAACGGTCCCTTATGCGGCTTTCATTGATATGTCGCAAAACCAAAACCAAAGCAATCACAATTAACGCAAACAACACAATGAGCCAGTGAGAGCTTAAAACAAATCTACGTTTCGGGCGCCAAGCGCGGGAACACGCAGGGGGAGAAGTCAAGGTTTGTTTCGGTTTTGCATCTGATTGGTTGACTAGGTAGCACTGACTGTTTTTGAACCAGTCACAGTACAGCAAAGCCAAATCAAGATTACGCATCATTCAACTGATGACCACTCTAAACAAGCTGTTGTTCTACTCACCCGTTTCGGAACTCCTTGTGTGACGATAGCATTGATCATTTCGGCTGACAAACTTTCTGGACTCTAAAACACGCGAAAACAAGAAGTAACCCAGTAAGGTTTACAATTCCAAAAATTTTATGAACTAATTAAGAAATGGAAAACATGTACCGTGTTTCTATTGAAACAACAGAGTGTTTCTGTCGAGGAACTATCGGCTGATAGTTGCCCCGCGGAAATTTGATGTTATTAAGCCCGAGAAGCGAAGCTTCGAGGGCAAATATGCTAGTTTTAAGAACATCAAATTTCCAAGGGGCAACTATCAGACCGATAGTTCCGAGACATAAACACTTGGAAAAAGAACATTTTGTGGGAAACCAGCCACCAAAAACTTACAGAGCCCACGGTTTTCGGCGTCAGTGGAAGTTGCTTGGTAACATGAAGGCTCCAATTCAATGCATAACAAGGGTTCTTACCATATCGACATCCTGTTGGGCTTCTTCTTCCTCTGCTTCATCTTCAACAGAGTCTACGCTGGCGCAATCATCCACATCTTGCCATTCATCTTCACTGACATCTGCAATGAATAAAATACCCCACTTCATTATTTAACAGCACTAGAAACATGTTTGAATTGTTAACATTAAAGGCCGAAAGTTGTGTAGCATTCGTGAACACGTCTTCTATTTCTTGTCCATACCAAAAGCAAAGGAAATAAGAGATGTTAGCCTCTTCCAGGCTTCCGGCTCGTTGTTAAGGAGTCGCGTATATGGGGTGAGGAGTTGGAGCCTGGAAAATCGGCTGCAAATAGGCTAAAGCACTGTAAAGCAAATTAAGTCTTCAAGTGTGAGCTCGCAACGAAAACGCTTGGAAAATTCCCATTTTGTGCCTCGCAGAATCCCGCCCGTCACGCTAGCAGTCTCATGTGTGGTCCTTATAGACTTTTCATCTCGTACTCATGTGATGCGTAACACTTGCCACGCCATGGCGTAAACTATATCCAAAAATATAACCTTTTAATTCCATTAGACCTTTTCTGTTCCTAGGAACCCGTAGTATTCATCAAATGTAAGCTTCATTTTCGATAAAATTTTATTAGTGTCAGTTTCTCATTGCGCAGATGTATTTTGTTTTTCTATTTAGCCCTTTTGAATGTTGTAATTTCACTTTATAGTAAACAACTCAGTAAACAAAACATCATGATTTACCAGTATTGTATTTAACGCTGTTGATTTAATAATTATTGACAAAACGAACTTTGAAAGTTTTTCAGTTTCGCACTTCGGAACACAAGGAAGAGAAAGAGTCTACCGGAAACGATTGCGTGACGTTGCGTTACGTTCGTGTCTATCGCGCAGTAGAGAGAATGGAACCGAGACATGACGGTCACGGTAGAACACGTATTAAAAAGAAAGAAAGACAGAAATGGCGAAGCAAAGAAGCTGTTTTCAACTCTTACTTCTAAGTACAACCTTTCTAAATTTTAATGACGTATTGTCTTTTTCAACTGCTCAAGAAGACGCGCCATTTTATCATCAAGATTCCCAAGACGACGTAATACGAGAGTACGTCAAATACTTCGCCAGGCCGACTGTATCGAGTCCGCTAAAAAAATTTCTCCATAAACCGACTACGTTGATCGCTTTGGCAAAGGCAGCTGAACTAGCCGTCGATAGTTACAGCAAGAAGTCGAAAAGAACTTGCCGACTTCGGGGGATTCTCGATTTAAAAGAGTTACGCAACAACACGGACTATTGGTTTCACATTTTGGTGCTGGAGGAAGACACATTCCTCACGGAAGCCTTCTTCGAGGTAGGAATCCCTCAGCCGCTCGACAAAGCCAGGAAAGTAGACTTCAGCACGTTCAAATTCAGTGAATTCAAGACCATAGGACGAAATGAAAACGACTGTGACCAACTGAGCAAACTTGCAGACTGCTCCAAATGCGGTTTCGGCGGCAGATGCGAAAAGGGCACCGCTCATATTTCTACCTGGCTCGCATTTGCTCTAAAAACACAACGAGAGATTCAAATCGACGAACCATTTGACCGGATACAAATGGTGTCCGCGCACAATGCGTTTAACGACCGTTCAGACGGGTACGGTGAACTGGACTACTGCCCCTGGCCACCACCCTACGAAAATGTTTGCCTGGACTTAGCCAATCAGGAGTTCAGTTTTACTGATCTACTCAACATGGGTGTGCGAGCCATGGAGATCGACCCCTGGTGGTGTTTTGGTAAGATGCTCATGAGTCATAACTACGAGAAAGCGTATGAGGGATGTGCTCCTTGGGACAGGGAGTTTGAGGACGGGATCAAAGAAATTGGTGAATGGATAAACAAGCCAGAAAATTCTCAGGAAGTCATTCGCTTGTATTTTGAAGATGGTGCCACCCACACATATGGCCATGACGCTTTGATCAATGGCCCAGTAGCAAAATATCTGGGAGATAAAGTCCTCACACCCAATGACTCCAGGAAGTATTTTCCAGGAAGGTGGCCCACGTTAAGAGAGCTGAGGAAAATCAACAAAACTGTCGTCATAGCTGGGTTTGGTGATCAACACGGTGGAGAGTACATTTTTGACAGATATTGGGAAGAATTGACACGGAACGACTTTGTTGCCAGCCCCAACTGTTCAGGGATTAACCGCGATAAGCCATCAAGAGTGTTCTGTGACAGCACTGAGTACCTCTTCTTTTGGAATGGTCCAAAAGAAACTGGTGTGATTCTTGACTTTTCAAGGTTTATGAAGTGTGGTGTGACATATCCAGCCGCAGATCAAGTCAATCCTGTTTTACTGGAAACTGCTGTGTTCACATGGGCACAAGGTGAACCATCAAAACCACTAACAGAAACATCCTGTGTGCTACTGGATGGCAAGACAGAAAAGTGGCATCTGGGCAACTGTCTAGAGGAGTATCTGTTTGCTTGTCAATCAATCAAAAATGTCACTGACTGGGTTACAAGTACTGTGCCAGGACAGTACACTAAACCGGTTTGTCCTGGTGGATACGATTTTAGCATTCCCCACAATGGCTTCCAACATCAACAGCTTATTAACGCCATGAACGACAAAACAGTGTGGGTTAATATCACACCTTACATTCACTTACTGGTATGATACTAACAGGCTGTAAGCCAGGGGGACATGTACCTCTCTGTCTTTTTAGGGAAAATTAACCCTTAACCCCAATGATTCCCTAACTATTGGCACCTAAACAGGGTGATATTTTGGTAAATTCATATTGATTTTTAAAAGCATAAATTAATGATTATTATTTGCAACTTGTCCCCTTGGGAAAGACTTCCATATAAAAGGACAGGGGTGCTTATTGGAAATGTTGAAAGCAACCCCTAGAAGGTACCAAGATCCTGGTTTGTGGGCGTGGCATGAAATTATTTTCACCCCTAAGAGGTACCAATTCTAAAACAACACATTGTTTCCTGTCATATTCTTTTTGGCTTAATTCTCAAGGTACCACAGAGGCTCCTGCTGTGGACCTGTCGAGGCTGAACACCCTAAGAGGCACCAAACCCCTAAAAGGTGCGACGAGTACCCCTGTCCTTTTTATAAGGGAGGGGGCCCCCCTGGCCTTGACCATGTTAGGAGAATTTGAATTTTCAAATATTGGCTTATTGGGTAAATGGTTTAACAGTTGTGGCCACTGGAGAGTTTCAAAATTAATCAAATATTTCAGGTCCAGTGCAGTTTTAAAAATTTCGCTGACACGGATTTTTACCGTTACAAACTTTTTTTTAAAAAAAATGTATGAAGCTTAATTGGAATTTCCAGAGGGGATGGGGGGGTCTTAGAAAAAATCCCTTCCGTGGGGGAGGTATGGATATTTTCTGGAACTACACATTTTGCAACATAGTGAGCAACCCTGAATATAATTATATCGCTGAAGGATTTAATAATATATTACATAGTCTGTTTCTACCCTAAGAAAACAGATGAGTGTCTCCTGGTTGAGGTTTTTGGGAACAAGGGAACATGTTCATCTATTTCAAGGGAACAAAGGATATTTTTGGGATTAATTTGAAGGAACAAGGGATATCTCTGCATGGAAACTTTGACAAAAAACTTAAGGGAACAATAGACCCTTTTCATAAATGGCTGCCAATTTAAAATTCTTTTGTATGCATTTAAATTAGCTTTACTAACCTCATTTCAGACTAAAAATTCTTTTGAATCACCAACTTCAAAATGAGGTTAGTAAGGCTAATTTTAATACTTGCAGAAGAATTTATAATTGGCCACCATTTATGAAAAGGGTCTATTGTGGTCTATGGAATTTTTTTGTAGGGAACAATGAAGAAAAAGTGAGAATTTCAAGGGATCTAGGGAACATGGTATGCCCCTGAAGGCCATCACAAATCATCCCTTAAATGTAATTCATTTAATATCTCTTGCAAGCTCTGAAAGAGTATCTATTTAGTTAATTGTAGTTTTGAAATGTATTTTTATGAAATCAGTAAATCATTAAAAGTTTTTTATGGCCATTTTTCTTACAGTATTTAAATGACTGTACTTATTTGCTTTGCCCAGAGAATTAAGTCATTTTTTAAGGGGATAATGAAATTAAGACGAGCAAGCCCAAGCTAGTTAAGGGTTTCACTAATATGTTGGGAATTCCAGGTATGACATTATACTTTTGCTTAACACTGTTGGGAATAGCTCATTGTTGTGTTTCCACTCCATCCATCTCTCCCTCCTTCCCTCCCTCCCTCCCTTGTAAGTATTTATTGGTGGGTAAATCTTGCACACACTGGTTTGAATTCTCCGAGCTACATGTATTTTGGCAGCTGCCTGGAAGTCAGCTACTGGCTGTGTTGCCATGGATACCTCCCTATTGCCAAAGTGCTGGCTGTCCTTGCCTTTTGCCACATTCACAGCATCAAAAAACCTTCCATACTTCAATAATATTGGAATAGGATTTACAGTGCAACTACTCCAACCAAAGCCACCCAAGCAAATTTTTGGTAAATTGACCAGTGGCATTTGGATGTTAAAAAATGATTTCAAGTTTGTTGTTTTTATAGTGTGCACCTTGCTCAGATCAACAATTTGTGGGAAATCTATTGTGAACATGAAATTTTTTCTCAGATCAATTTGCTTGGAACTTTGTTGGGTGGCCTTGGTTGGTGTAGTCGCAGCGTAACTTCATTTTTAAGATCGACTGAAAATTGCACAACTTTTTCAAATACTCCTTTTGCAAAGCAGAGACATTATTTTTTTGGTTGGGAACAGCAGTATGACTACCTTATAATTGTGCAACTAAAACATAATGCACTATACATATTATATATAAAGGTTGTTTTGACAACTCTAACTGCAATCTCACCATCAGGGCAACACATGTTTGAGAGAATTTCTAAAGCCAACTGCTGAGCATTCAGTAGCATCTGGACATCTTCTATCTGGCAAAGTCACAATAATAAACATAAATGATTTTATTTTGAAGACACAGTCAATTATGACAGCTGTCTGGTGTAACACCAAGATCATTAGTATTGTGGTTACAGTAATGATAATCAAATAACGGCAACTGCAGATTAGGCAACAAATGCATAACTTATTGCAACCATTTCTCATTTGTCTACAATGCCATTTGACTATAATTATATGGTCAAGAAAATGCAAAATACAAGACTGTATATTTACATGGTTTAACCAGTTTCCAGCAGAGCAAAATTATTTCTATTTGTATAAGCCCAGAATCCACATTTACAAAAAAGTGCATGAAGAATAATGACCAAATTTTTGACAAAGAGGAAAAAAAAAACAGAATACAAGGGGAATAAAGCGATCCAATAGCAAATCATTTGATCAGTGGTTTGACAGATTATATGTGCTTGCATTTTCACTCATTGCTGTCTTGTGGGACAAAATCCTCTATGCATGAATTTCTCAAGAAAAATTGTGAGTACGTCATAATAGATTGCAATTTACCTTGGTGGGTTCTGGAAGAAGTTTGCTGATGACATCAAAACAGTTCACATCAAGAACGTGAGCCAAGACTTTAACAACTGCTTGCAGAAGCTCATTAAAACTACAGACTGGGATAGTGTAGCGAATATTGTATAACACACCTAAATAATAACAAAAATCATTGATATACACTCTCAGTGGGATCATGTGTACATGCAAGGGATTGTTACACCCATCTTGTTGTCTGTAATGGAAACTTGTGGATATCTCAAGTACCCATCCTCTACTTTAGCAAGACACAACCTGGTTCTCAGTGTCATTCTTCTTGGGAGGAACAGATGGCCTGGTAATGAGGTTATAGTGAGGTGCTGTGCAACTCATTCATTGTCAGAAGACTTCAATAAGCTACAAATAAAAGAAAAACTCTTTTACCTGCAGTCAAAACTTTCAGCAGTAGCATGTCGCTAGATGTGCCATCAGCCATTAGAGACTTCTCAAGAGTTTTCATCATGTCACTGGAGCCACACAGAAGCTGAGCAGCTGAGGCATTGTCTTCAGTGACAGTGTGGAGACACTGGGCTAACAATGGGTCAGAAAACTAGATAGCATCAAATTCTCCTTTACTTTAATTTACAAACTATCATCAATGAATTGATCACATTTCTGTTGGTTAAAGCCCTTGACATAACTATAGCAGCTCAGATCTGTAGTTTAGTTTACCGTAAATTGCTTCTATTGATACCAAATAAGTACACTCTTTTCTTTGCAAATGTTACAGTACTCTTTTACAAAAACAGTAGCATCTCACCTGCAGGAATTGCAACAGTTTTAGGGTAAATGTCAGTCTTCAGACTCGAGACAAGATATGGCAAAAGGCCCTGTTTATTGAAAACATCCACTGCTACATCACTGCTTTCACTGGAAAAAAAATAGTGGTCATTTATCAAAAGCAAGTTGAACCATAAACAGAAGTGTAGTATTTGACAATAACATTTTCTTCCAGCCAGAATTTTGTAGGAGTACAATGGTTTAGTTTTGCTTATCAATCGGTGTAGCAACTACAACCACAGTATTCCATGCAAAGATTTCTTCACTCACCAAAGATTCCACAGTAAGCTCACAGCCTGAATTGCCAAGCTCGTTGATTGTCTTTTAAACTCTGAATTGCCTGGACACTCATCAATAGCACCCAAGGCATCAAGAGACTGAAAGTTACATAAAAATCATCTGTAAATGTTTCCAATGAAGATAAGAATTTTTAATCAAGGTATTGACAAGCATTGAGGGTTAATGTTATTGTTATGAACAGCAAAAAGCAGTTTGCATTCACACAATGAATTCTCCCAACTCGTGCAGAAGCCCTCTTGCACGTGAAAAATAAGCTGATAATGAACTGAAAGTTCTTGTGGCAAAATATTTGGCCACCAAATTCTAAACAAGAGGCAACATCACACAAACACTTTTGGTTTCGTGAAGTTCCACGTACCTGTTGCACAAATGTGCCAAGTGGAGTCATCACATCTTGTTCCACCATTTTAATACATACATCAGGACCTCCGCCAAGACTTAAATTCCTGTTGTGTAAAATGTGTGAGACTCTTAATTTAATAATGTCAATGAGTGATACTCAATTATGTTAAGAAAGGGACCGAGATGCACACAGGGCTTCAAGTCTCATTTCAGTGTTTAAAACATACTGTAATTATTCTGCTAAGACACATAGGTGGTAAAAACTGATATTTATTGTGATTGATCATATCCAGCTCAGAGAGGAAATCTCTATAATCCAGGGAAGCTTGTTAACCACCTTCAAGGGAACGAAAAAATTCATGTTCTCAGCATGCAAAGAAAGTGCCTCTTAGAGGTGTCTTTCAAAATTTCCTATAAGTATGCCTGTCATTAATGTGCCTATCGGGGTTTCTTCTTTCTTATCTGGTAGACCTATACTTTGGTGTCCATATCATGTATGTATACTTGTGCAATGTACCTCAAAGTTCCTGCAGCACCTTCCTGAATCCCTCTATTATCATCAATGAGCAGTGGGCCTAGCCTTCGCACAACATCTTGTTGTAGAAGGGCAGGAATGGCTCCACGATCAAACACCAGGTTGGCCAGGCCAGCACACGCGCACTCTCGTTCAGTTGGAATTGCACTTGTCAGCTGTGACAGACATTAATATTTAGATGTTACACCAGTAACTATTCAGTAACACCAAATATTTGTATCAGAAAACATTATACATACTACCAGTTTAAGTCCCAAGGTCCCAAAAATATGTTTCACTTATTTTCTGCAAATTATTAATTAACCCCTATTTATACTCGGCACTTCCATTCTGCAGATGCAGATACTTAAAAAGTGTAAGACATGGTCATGTCTATTGTGCAAAACCTCTAGAACTAAAAAGACACTTGTAAACTGTTTCTGCCACAGGGTTGTCACTAACTTATCAAGTATATGTAGGCTGGCAGCTTTATTGTTGGAGTAGGTGAGTTATTTTGCCATCTTTTTCACACAAACAGGTCAGGGAGTAGGTGGCTAAGATCATCAAATAGATCTGGCTTAACTTTTGACAACCCCGTACCACCAAATGTAATTGATACTAAGAAAAAATTTCAGATGAAGCTTAAAAATTGGCCAAGATATTACTGGAATATTCTTATTATCAAGGACAGAAAAACCTCTCCCTGGCAGTAGGTACATTATCAATAATACACTTCAGATATAAAAAGCTGAGTCCAGGAACTGAGGTACAAGAAATAATCATCCTTGGAGATGGTTAATATACAGTGGAACCCCACCTTACAACTACCCCATTTAAATGGTCTTGTTGTTATTACAGCCACTTTATTCTGGCCTGAACAAAAGCTCAGTCAGTCATTTCTTTTTGAAGAACCTCTTCAATGCAGCAAGCCTGTTAATACTGCCAGACTTGTGGCCCACTGATGACCAAATTAATGAGGTTCCACCATCAGTGATAGTTTTTTTTTTTAATTTTCCATTTTAAATAAACAAATAAACATAAAGATATCCATTTAGTTTACAACAGTAACAAAAAGTATCCAGCATTCAATAGAATGGTAAATACATGTTGTTTTGCTGAACATTTAGCTTATCTTATTAGTTAAGTTTAACATGGTGCTTCATTTGAATGTATATATCAGTAATCACAATATTTGTCACATAATGCATATGTTTAAAGCTGCATACTCTGGCTGGAATTGCCAGTTGTGCAGAAACAACCAAGCTAACCAGTTGTTAGCTATGTTTGCTAACCAGTTATTGTAAATGGGTTTTACCTGACTGTTTGCCACAATATACATCAATTTAGAGGAAGTCAAGAAGTACGTTTTCAGTTGGTTTCCAATTTTTTTTTTTTTTACATTACTGTTTTGTTTGTATTTTATATTGAATTGTGTTGTTAAATGAAATATGGTTCTTCCTCCCTGTTGGCATGGCAACTTTGCAGTAGTTTTTTAGTGTTAACTTTATTATTAAGATGATTTCTGCAGAACATTTGAGCAATAGTGGCAAAAATAAAATTACCAAAAAAACCTCATAGCATGTTATGAATAAAGGTAAGAAGAACTCATCAAGATTTGAGCTCTCAAACTGACCTCGCAAGAGAAAATTGAACTTGAAGTCATCCATATTTTAATTAAAACACACGTTTCACATTAGTTAAACACACAACACACCCATTAAGCATTCTTACAAGGTACCGTGCTGTGAGTAGATTTTTAGTAAATAATTCTTGCACTTATTGCTCGAACTTTGAGCGGAATCCGTCTCAAGTACCTTTTCTTGTACACAAATTACACAGAGAACACCAAGATGAAGGTAAGAGCATTGTTGACTTGAGAACAAATTGTACATTATAAGAAATATTTCCTAGCAACAGTGACCTCATTTGAAAAAGGCGGCAGACTATCAATATAGGACACCACAATCGTGTGCATGAGGAGCAATTACAGAATACCCAGCCACCTCATTTACATGTGCCGGTGTGCTTTCAAGAACGAGGTATATAACAATAGTTGCTATTCTTATTCAATGAGATGCTAATAAGTGGCCGGGTATTCTGTAGTTTAGCCTAAAGTGCACACTAAAGAATTTGAGGAGGGTATCTGCTTAATACAGAGTTGACTGTACATTAACTTTACGCGAATACCAACCTTTTCAACAAGAGGTAAGGTTTTAGCCCCAATCGTGCCAGCACTTTCTTGAGCTTCGATTTGCGCTTCTTTAACGCTTGGCAAACCGGTAGGTCTGTATCGAAATGAAGACCGTTTCTTTGCTTTAGTTTTTCCCATTATTTCTGGCTTTTAATAGGATTCGGCCGTTTAAAATTCCCAACAAAAACAACACACATTTCATGACACTCTAGACTGCCATGTTGTTTCGCAAGATTCCACGTGTTGTTAAAAGTATAACTGCTGACCAAATTATGGCCAGGCGCGTTACTAATTGTAGAAATAGCGTGACAAGTGAGCGTGACATATTGAAAGAACCTTTTCTAAATGTATTAGTCTGTCTACTGATCAGGATTCTCTATTTTGTCTTAAATTCGTCGAGATCGCAAGCAAACAAATTAAACGCAGAGGATTTGAAAAGCTTGAACGTAAGGCGGTGGCCCTGGGGAAAGACAAACTGCTCTCGCGCTCCGCGCTCGCTCTCGCGTGCTCGCATCGCTCACGCGCTAGGAGAAAAGTAACTCGTTTTAGAAAAAAAAAACGTCTGTGGATAGACTAAACTGACTAGACCGTTAGATTTTATAATATGGAGGTTTAAACTTAGAAAACTTATAAGGTTTGCTATTGTTGTTTCCAAGTGGATTGCATTCTGTTCGAAACAAAACAAAAACAATATTGTTTGTTTTGGTTTTTTTTTATTGACTATTTTCTATACACATTGCCAGGTTTTACTGGTGCTGAGCACCCCAGAGTGCGGAAATGAGAATCGCACATCCGGTTGGATGAACTTGATGTCATCTGCCACTGGTAACCATTTCTGTTTTGTCATCACAAAAAGTGTGATTTTGGATGATCATGAAGAATATGGGATCTCGAAAACAAAGAAGTGCTTGTCAGATCTCTGTTATAGCCGTTTGGTATAGGTATATAATACATGTATTTGGTTAATCCCTTTGTAGATTACAAATGTAGTTGTAGATGTATGTTGAATAGGTTATGTTTTCTTTTTTTATGTTTTCTTTTTTTTAATTATTATATTCATCTGACGTGATTAAATAAAAAAACAGTAAAACAAGTTCCAGTCTCATTTGTTTAATTTCAATTTAAACTTGAATGAGTTAAACTATTTTCCCAGTCTTTGGCGTCTAAAATGACCGATGAATACGGATTTTAAAAAATGCCAAGCATTCTTTCACGTACATCCGCCCCCTCCATGAAAAAATTGAGAGGACCGGAAGAGGGCGGATGTACACAAGCTAGTCTATCATCTGTCTATTACCAAATTTGTTTACGAGACGGAAGTTGTCTGTTTTGTTCATGTGACGCCGTCATGGCAGGAACGTGACAGTCACGGCCGTCACGGCATGCACACGGAAGGTGACGATCGTTAGTCTCGTGTTTCATAATAACCTATTTCGGTTGCGGAGGAACGAGTAAGTTCTTACTTTATAAGCCACGTTGTTACAAAACAACCTGTCCTATCCCAGCGAGTTAAGGTAACGACGTGTTAAACTCCCTCGATTGCGAAGACAACAGAGTAAAATGAGTCAAAACGGATTACAAAACGGACCACAAGGTGAGTAAATTAGTTAGTAACGTTTCTTTTCCCTAAGCGCCGGGGATTAAACATATGTGGTGTGAAAGACGTGTATTTATTGTTTCGGGTTTCAGTACTTTAAGTTTCGTAGTGTCTCAAAATCTCATTTCATTGTGAAATTGCTTGTCGATCTCAAACTTGGTTCACTGTTGAAACAACCAGAAAGGAACGCACTTTTTAAAAGATCGATTTTGAAAACAACGCTTAACGAACAGCAGTAATGTCAACACGTTAAGCCAAGCGAAGGATTTTGACTGTAAATTTAACCACACTAGGGAAATGTTTCGTTCAATATTTACGCTTCTTTACAGTTCTACGTGCGACATTGGTGCGCAGATGAACAAAACGTCATAAAATGGTTCTAAGTTTCTCGCTAATTGTAACAACTGTTAGGAGCATTTCAATAAGCATAAACAGGACCCCACGCGCCCGGCATTTTAAATCGGTTATGCAATTCAACATTTATTTGGTCAGAGAAAAGAGCGTTCTGTATTCAAATTCAGGCTATTTATATCTTATTTCAACCGGCAAAGTGTTTACAAATCATCGTCTTCAACTTTAAGAACCCCTATTCACAGCGTCATCAAATTTCGTCGTTGTGAAATTTTTAGGTGAGAAGATGTTAAACATTACAGACTTTGTACCTTAAATAACCTTGCATATTTAATGAGGGTAGATTCGAAATATTACAAATAGTGAAAAGAAAGCTATAAATCAGGATTGTATGGCTCATTATATTGCATAATATTTTGACCGCGGCCTCCGGATCTACGTCCAGCAACGTCATGTCTGGCCGTCTGAGTGCAAAAAGTGTATCAAGTAACGCAAGCCCACATATGAGAAATTTTATGGTGTTTTGTAACCGGTAGGTTACGAAACTACTGTCTTTGCAAATCCCTTAAAGCTTCTCATTTAATCGGGGGAAAAGAACTTTTTATATCAAATGGAAATAAATAATTATATGAGGTATCATGCTTCACGGACTGCTTCACAGACTGCTTCACTGCTTCTCACTAAAAATACGCGGGGGAATGGGGATGAGGGTTTTCCACCGATGGTGGCGCGAAAATTTCCGATTGGCAATCGAAAGATTGACGACTACAAACGTTTGATTTTGAAAGAAGTGTGTTGCACATTTAGAGTTTCTACATGTTTGTAAGGTAGTTGTGCTGTCATTTGTCTGCGTGAGTTGTTCACCTACTAACACTTCGGAAGGAAAATTGTACAAGAAACGTATAATCCGAAGATTTCCGAGTGTTCACAATGGCCAAAGCAGGTATTCGGTGCATCAACCAGTCGTCATTTATAATTCAATTCAGTACAGTAGTTTCTTAAACAGACCATGGCGTCTGCTCGGATATCGAGCTTGCTTAGGAAAAGTTCTTTGATCGCGCCAGTTCATATTCGTTCCTTCTCTCTAGTAAACGGACAATGTTCCAACGTCAAGATCCTCACTGGAGAGACGATGAATCCATTCGTAAAGCAGATCGAATATGCCGTCAGAGGAGCGATTGTAGAGCGCGCCTCAGCTTTGGAGAAAGAGCTAATGAAGGTATGATCTTATATTGAATTGTTTCAGTAACGACTTATTTGAAAACAAGACGGTGAAATTGTTATTTGAAAGACGCCAGAGATCAGTACTGTCTTGTAATTTTCAAGGGTAGGATTTAACACGATTGAACACGTACAAGCTTATCAGGGGCTAAAATTATATTTTGTAAAACAAAACTGTGAATCACCAAATATTGTGAAAATTTCGTACCGTACACAAGAATTATTTCACACAATTCTAAATTTCTGTTTTAATCGATGTTACAGCAAATTTCATAATGCAATCGACATGATCAAGTCAAGTAATTTTTAAGTCTTAACTTCTAGCTGGTGAAACGCACATCAAGTTCATTAAACTTGAGAGCACTTAAGCCTTAATTTCTTTAAGACAAAATATAAGCTTAATTATTGTGAAATATCAAATATTAACTTTTACACATGTGCAGCATTAACCGCACGGTTGTCTATCCTACAAACTCATTGCAGTGTAATAAGGGGTGTTGCCGGGGAGGGTCTAGATCACGTTTCACCGAAAACGAAGCAATCCTTTCACGGTTCACTGATCTTCTATTTTCACTAGCCCATTAACAAAATTTAGTTGCCCCCGGGTTATTGGACCTGGGTTATTTCCTGTGCTATGTATCATTACTGTTCTTCTTTGGTCGATATAGGGTGCACAGAAGCCTTTCAAGGAAGTTATAAAAGCAAACATTGGAGATGCTCATGCCCTTGGAATGAAGCCACTTACTTTTCCCCGCCAGGTTTGCATGTCTTTATGTTCAGGCCCGGCCCTCTAAGACTAGAGGGCTGTTTTGGAGTCATCATTAGAAGAGACAACCATGGAGATGACTGAAACACAGAATTACACATTTCAATCTCAGATAGCTCAGAGTGCAATGTACAGTTCTGAAACATGGTCACACAGGTTTCCACCCTTGCCATTCACTCCTAGTCAGTGTTGACTTTGGTAATCAGCTAGTTGAGAGGGCTTTTCCCCCTTGTTGAATATGAATGGCAGAAACCTTTATAACATATAATCTAAGCAGTGTGTATGTTTAATGTGTGTCTCTGCATTCAAGGTTCAAAAATACCAGTAATTTACAATTACTGGTCAATTGTCAGGACAGGTTTAAAATTTAACTTTAGTGTTGTCCATTGATTTTCAAGAATACACTGAAGTATGGCAAATGTGATTAGTTTACTTTTCACACCAATGTTTGTAACTTGGTACTTCTGTTTTCCTCACAAAGGTATGTACATGTTCATCAGGGTTGTCATGAAGGGCCATAACCTGTAACACTTGTTGAGGTTGAGTATGCTTGATTTTCCCTTGACGCTATGGGTGAAATTACCTGTTGTTGATAGAATTCAACCACAAAGTAACAAGTTTGTTTATGGGTGTGGAGAACATGGCTGCAAGTGACTCGAAACTTGATGACAACCCTGTACATGTAATGTAATTTACCCTTGTTTTCACTTCAAACATCTCTTTCAAAGTGGATCTGATAAGATTCGATCTTAGGTAGATCTTAGCAATTACAAATTAATTAAGTTTGCTGGTTATTCTAGGTTATTGCTATGTGCGTGTGTCCAGAACTTCTGAACAGCCCTGATATACCGTCTGATGCAAAAGAAAAAGCCAGAAAAATACTGAGTCACACAAAGGGCTCCAGTATGGGTAAGTTGTTACAAACTAATTATTAAAATCTCTTAGTAAACTATTGGTGGTTAATTAACATAACTTACATCCTAAACTCTTACACCTTTAGTACTTAATAACATTCTAATATTCCCTGATAATATTCATGGTCTAGTGCTCAATCAGGTTTAAATGAGAAAAAAAGAAATCATCATTATTTGATGAAGAGCAGCTTATATTCACAGAGGTAGCATTATAGGGAATATACGGTAATCATTGAGGAGAACTGGTGTTTCAGTAAATGAAAGGGTTAACAAGAAAGTCTTGAGATTGGTGGTGAGTGTTGTTCTCATTGTCCTACTCANAATGTTTGTAACTTGGTACTTCTGTTTTCCTCACAAAGGTATGTACATGTTCATCAGGGTTGTCATGAAGGGCCATAACCTGTAACACTTGTTGAGGTTGAGTATGCTTGATTTTCCCTTGACGCTATGGGTGAAATTACCTGTTGTTGATAGAATTCAACCACAAAGTAACAAGTTTGTTTATGGGTGTGGAGAACATGGCTGCAAGTGACTCGAAACTTGATGACAACCCTGTACATGTAATGTAATTTACCCTTGTTTTCACTTCAAACATCTCTTTCAAAGTGGATCTGATAAGATTCGATCTTAGGTAGATCTTAGCAATTACAAATTACAAGTTTGCTGGTTATTCTAGGTTATTGCTATGTGCGTGTGTCCAGAACTTCTGAACAGCCCTGATATACCGTCTGATGCAAAAGAAAAAGCCAGAAAAATACTGAGTCACACAAAGGGCTCCAGTATGGGTAAGTTGTTACAAACTAATTATTAAAATCTCTTAGTAAACTATTGGTGGTTAATTAACATAACTTACATCCTAAACTCTTACACCTTTAGTACTTAATAACATTCTAATATTCCCTGATAATATTCATGGTCTAGTGCTCAATCAGGTTTAAATGAGAAAAAAAGAAATCATCATTATTTGATGAAGAGCAGCTTATATTCACAGAGGTAGCATTATAGGGAATATACGGTAATCATTGAGGAGAACTGGTGTTTCAGTAAATGAAAGGGTTAACAAGAAAGTCTTGAGATTGGTGGTGAGTGTTGTTCTCATTGTCCTACTCACTCACACCAAGAAGAAAAGTCACACATGTCAGCTGTGAAAACAGCACCTGTTATTGGAGGGGATAGGTCAACAAGAGACACCTTTGGGAAAAAAATTGAAATCTCTCTGGTTTAGATTTTTTTTTATGTTTTTTTTTCTGTTTCACCCGCCTTATGGCCACCCTGTTAATATGGCCCCCTCATTATTTTCTTATTTAAAGAACCCCTTTAATACAGCCACCCCATTAATAAGGCCAGATTTTTTGTGGTCCATCGGTGACCAGGTTCCACTGTATAACCCATACACACCCACGTGTATGAGTCACTTTTCAGTGACATATAACAAAACATTAATCGACTCATGAAATTGGTTTTACTGTAACGGAAATTAATCAGAGATTATCTACTTGGAGCTTACTCACTCTTACTTACTCTTCTAGGAGCTTACTCAGATTCTCAAGGTCTGGAGGGTATTCGAAATAATGTGGCTAAATACATCAGTGATCGTGATGGCTATGCTTCCAATCCTAGCCATATTTATCTCACAAGTGGTGCTAGCGAGGCAATTAGGGTAAGAGACAACTCACAATTAACATATGATAATGACTTCAGTATAATATGGTCAAGTGGTGAGAGCACAAGACCTGGGATTGGCTAATCCCAGGTTTAAGTCTGTCATTCTGCTCTTGGATGCAACTGAATTCAGCTCCTTAGATACACTTGTGAAATAACCAAACAGCTTTCCTCCTGCCAGCTTGGACTCTTCACTAGTTGTCGTCTGCTCTCACTCTCAGTCTGTCGTGATTGTCATATTTTAAAGTAGACACTTACTGGTACAAGGCAATCATTAGGAAACGAGTGCTTATCAGAAGGAGCACACAAAACCAAATCACTTCTGAGTGACATAATATCTGTGTGAGATTTAGATTCTTTTCCTGACATCTTCCAGTGTTCTCATACAGGATTAAGTCTGTTTTCCTGCATAAACAATGAAAATAATGTTAAGACGGATTCCACCCAAAGATCAAACAATAAGTGCAGAAATTATTTACTAAAATCCTATTCACAACATATCTCTTTAATTCATTTTTTTAAGTCACCCCACGATCAAATTCTCAAGCATTCATGAGAAAGTTAATGTTTTGAACTGACTCGAAATGTCCGTTTTTATTAAAATGTGGGTAACTTCATGTGTAAAAAATGTGGGTAAATTTTCTCTCAGGGGGTCAGCTTGAGAGCTTAATTGTTCTCAACTGTATTCAAAATATTACCATGCTATGAGGGTTTTTTTGTAACTTTATTTTTGCCATTATTGCTGAAATGTTCAACGGAAACCATCTTATTAATTCTTTATTGTATCTATTTCACCATTGATGATGGCCATTTATTTTTAGGCAATACTAAAATTACTCCAGACAAGTGTCAACACTGGTAATGGTAGAGCCGGCATCATGATCCCAATTCCGCAGTACCCCCTCTACTCAGCAACATTGTCTGAAATGAACTCCTACCAGGTAATTGGTAATAAGATTATAAATAAATAAACCATCAGTTATCATGCCTGTTAGCTGATCACTTCTATTTTGCAAGCATCATCATAACTACCATCAACATTTGTCCTGATCCAGCTGTTTCAGATAGGTTTTTAAGCAGATGGTCAAAACTGCAAAGATTTCAGAGAAAGTAGATAGCAACTTTATTCGAATTTGCTTGAAATAGCACATTTTGCCAATTTCCAGCTCTTTAATAAACTGAAATCATTGGTTATTTCCCTTTGAGAGGTACAGTGTGTAGGGCCTCCCATTTTGAAAACCTACGGCATTTAAATCTTGCAACCACAGACTATCTTTATTTACTTCTTTTTTACCTTCAAGTGTGTTTTAGCCAACAAACAATACAAATGTTGTTTTGAAATGCGAGAGAGTTTGTTATATAGCACAGCAATAACTGACTTTGAAGGAATTAATTAATTAGTTCTTTCTACATTTTGATATGGTAGATGAGCCTAGGAAAAGAATAATTCAACAAAGCAGACATGGCTAGACAGATCTGCTGAAAATGAATATTGTGAAACAGAGGATTTCAACCATAAATTGAGCAAGTCTCAAACTGACTATGGATTGAATATCAAAAATTTATAACTGTTGCTGGATCTCATATTCTTACACAACCTTTAAAAGATATTTTGTTGTTCATCTACAGATAAACTATTATCTTGATGAAGATAATGGATGGAGCTTAGACATGGATGAGCTGAAGAGATCTTTAAATGAGGCAAGACCTCATTGTGTTCCTCGTGCCTTGTGCGTCATAAATCCTGGCAATCCAACAGGTAGTGGGTCTTAGCTAGTGAAAGTTGTTGTGGTCAAGATCAGAATTCTCCTCTGTCAACTCCACTGCATATTGTTACCTGTATTTGAGAGAATATGAGTGTGTAAATCGTCAAGCCAAGTCCTCTTTGAAATCTGTGGGCTTTTAAGCTTGAGTGGTAAAAATTGAACATTAGGTAATCTTACTAATGATTTCATCTTGGGCATAAATGGATTAACAGGAAGCAAAACAAAGTGTAACCAGTAGGAACTTAGTATTTTGTAATAAATAATTCTAGCAGTTAAGTTCAGTCTGATCTTGTCCAAGTTTCCAAAGCTGAATCAATGCAAAATCAGTTTTTGAAAACTGTTCTGGGTTAGGCACGTTAATTTGATATTGGTAGCATATTTTCAATATGTTTTCAACTAATTTTATGATTTTTAAATTTTGCTTTTCCTTTTTCCGATGTTAGGTCAAGTTCTGTCATATGACAACATCCAGGACATCATAAAGTTTTGCAAGGCAGAGAAACTTGTTCTACTTGCAGATGAGGTAAATATGCTACAGTGTAAATAAATGTTTACAGTGGAACCCCGTTAATCCAGTCACCAACGGGCCACAAAAATCTGGCCATATTAACAGGGTGGCCATATTAAAGGGGTTCTTTAAATAAGAAAATGACTGACTGAGTTTTTATTCAGGCTAGAATGAAGTGGCCGTAATAACGAGGTGGCCGTATTAACAGGGTGACCATAAGGCTGGCTTCAACTGTATTTGCCAAATCAGTAGACCTTGTTTATGTGTTGTTGTGATGTGTTCTTGGGCTAGACAGTTTACTCTCACAGTGCTTCTGCCTGGGAGCAGAATTGTCAAAAATCAATGTCTAGGTTATGATCTTGGCTGGCTGCCCTGCCAAGCTATTTATCAACAACAACGACAACAACAACAGCCTTTATTTGTACTCATTCATACAAAAATGTACAGTCTACAGAAATAAAAATAAATAGAGTACTGTCTTCCTGCCAGAATAACTATAGGGGCTATAACTATAGACAGTGAGCCAAGTAAGGTATTATTTACTCGAAAGATCATAAGTTAGGTAGATAAACAGAAATAAAGGTCAGTTGACTAAATTTACATGCAACGTAGCTTAGGGCTAGAAACACAAAACACCTACAGATAACATTTTTCCGACAATAAAACCACTTAAAAATTTTGTGACCTGTAGCTGGGCTTATTAGCATCCCATCTTGGGAGACCCAAAATTAGGGGACTTTGTGGCTTTATGTTTAGAAAAAAGAGACAGCACGTACCAGCACCTATCTAGATTCTTTGATCCTCAGAAATGAGACAGATTCTTGCTTCTTTTTAAATCACACCGACACTGTTACATTTAATTTTCAGTCACATAGAGATGACTCAGTTTTTATATTCCTTTAGGTATACCAGGCAAATGTATATGGAGAGGGAAAGGAGTTCCACTCATTCAAAAAGGTCTTACGAGATCTGGGCCCTGATTATGAGGACTTTGAACTCATTTCATTCCATTCTACATCAAAAGGATTTCTAGGAGAGTAAGTGAATTATTGTCTTCCTACGCTAATAACAACTGAATTGTGTACTTGCAGGCAGGGGTAAACCTTACATGCATTTTGTCAAGTGTCATCTCAACAACTTTAGGGAAGGTTACAAATACTTTCTTCTTCTTCGGTCCCCTATCATGACATTTTTTACACCCTTGATCTACATTTCACTGTAAACTTTTAAACCTTGTTTTTCCTTCTTTTTTTTTGTTTTNTTTTAGTGTATACTACACAAACAGTGAATAACTAGCAGACCAAAAAATTAGTTATTTCTTTCTGACAATAAACTGAAAAATAGTCAGAAATTTCAGAATCTCTGCTTGAAGGTGACTTAAGTACTTTGCCAATCACGGGTGATAGTGATGACATATTGATTTTCAGATTAAATTTGTGGTTTCAGTGAAGGTCATCATAGTACTGGTGGTGACAGCAGCAAAGTTGACACCACATGTAACCTTTGTGACCAAAATAATGTGTGATATACTTTCAACTGATTTGTTAAAACAGGCAATGATGGACTGCTTAGTGAGCCCACCTCAACCTGGAGATGAGTCTTATGACACTTTTATTAAAGTAAGTGTCGGACTACAGTGTGGAAAATATTTTTTAATAGCAGTACATTTTTTTGTCCAAATTTAATGCCTTTGAGAATTGAATTTTCCAAAACTACTCACACATATTATTAAAGATCATGTATTCCTGTGTGCCTGTGCTATCACACAGTAAGTTTATTTGTAAACTTGATTTACATGTACGTGTACAAGTGGCCATTCATGTCTGAATGACACCTTGAAGAATATAAAAAACAGACAGTGTTACATGAGTGTCCTGAAACAGTGTAATTTTTCTCCTTTGGGAAATGAGTTCTATTCTACTATAATGGCTATACCTGATATTGTGAGGATAACTTGGTGTTGATATGTCCTGCCATTTTCAGGAGAAAACAGCAGTTCTTCAGTCATTCAAAGACAGAGCTAAATTAGTTGCAGAGACATTCAACTCAATGGATGGCTTTCAGTGCAATGAAGTGATGGGAGCCATGTATGCGTTTCCTCGAGTGTTTATCCCTAGAAAAGCACAAGAAGAGGCCAAGGTATGAACACACTTATGTAGGGTCCTCAGCAGGCATTAACTTCTAATATTGCCTTTTCTTTGCTCACGGCATCTTTTTGACAAATGTTTTTACCATTTTAACAAGAAAGATTAAAAGTATTGTTAACTGACGTTTTGATGCATCAAGCATCATTCTCAAGACTGAGGTCGCTAATGTAAATGTCAAAGTTGTTATATCCAAGTTGAGTTTGAAATGGATTGCAACTTGTAAATAACAACTTTGACATTAACATTGAAGACCTCAGTCTTCAACCTCGTTCCCAGGGTCCTACCTCTCTACCTCGAGAAAGTACCCTGGTTGCGGCTGGCCATGTGACTATGCATTCCAACCAAAGCCACACTGAGGGTGGGTCCTCAACTTAATTTTGTCAACACTGTCTATGGAGATGAAAGTTGCTCTGCCTGACAGACATTATTTTGAAAGTTCAGCAAGTTATTTGTCAGAGATCCTGCCTGACCAGTGCTTCGTTTCTGTCTGAACTTCCATGAGTATGAGATATTGATTGAGAGGGAAGTTTGCTTATTTGTCACTACTTTTTTAAATAACCGTGAACAGCCTGCTTCGGATTAGTTTAATCAGTTTTTCACAGCACAGGAATTAAATAACTGTCAAATTTTCGATTGGATGCATTCAATTTAATAAGAAGGTAGTCTCTCAACCAAAAATTGGACTTACCGCTCAACAGTTTTGAAACGAAAGCCGTTGGATTTTGCAAACGCGCAGCCGATGTCGTTGTTCTCAAGTTCTTCATAAAATTTTTCACTGTAAGAGAATCGAATGACCGGCAAATTTTCGATTGGATGAAAGTTGCCGTAAGAGCATGGGATGGCCGTCAAACTGTCGATGAGAGTAATTCAATCAAATTCAAAACTACCTTTGTAGGCAAACATACAACTTATGTAACTCTAACGGAACGAGTAAATACCTTTGTTGCAATTTTGCCGAATGAAAAATTAAATTAAATTCACCGCGGGGTCCAGTTATTGTGGTGGTCATCATTTCCAAGTTCTTTGCCAAATTTTTTCACTGCCACAAATTCCAAAGACCATCCAACTATCGACAGGGAAAATTCAGGTAAATTTTTTATTTATTTATTTATTTATTTATTTATTTATTTATTTATTTATTTATTTATTTATTCAGGAAGAAAATACTTACAGTACAATAAAACATAGAGTAAAGTAAATTTCACACAAGAAGAAAACTACGGCACTTTGAGGACTACAATAGATATTGAAATAAATTAATGCAAGGTGCTACTGATTAGAAATTTGAAAACTGTGACATTGACACAAAGTAAGTAAATTAATTTGTCCCATTGAGACGGTGGTGGTGGCAAAATTTCTGGGGCAAAATCTTTTAATATAAGGCATTTCCATTTCTCATTAAAGAGCTTGGCATTTTTGTTTTTTATTGCAATGTACCTTTCAGTCATTACGTTTTCTTGAAGTTGTTTCTTAAACAGCAAGAAGAGTAAAGATTGCTCATTTAGGTTACAGTTATAAATGAAGTATTTTGCCACAAACAAAGCCAAGCTTAGGGGGTGATGGTGCTTGAGTGGGTTTGTAGGACCGTATAAAATTGTTGAGTCTGGTAACTGAGTGTTTTCACTGGTGATTTGCGACCACCAGTCAAAAAAATTCATTCCAAAATAAAGTTACATGGGAACACTTTAAAAACATATGCTGGATTGTATGCTGTTCACTTTTATATAGATAGCATATATCATCAGCTATTATGTTGGCTCTTTTAAGTTTGTCTTTAGTGTAGATGATATTGTGGTTTATCATGAATTGAAACATTATTAACTTTGTATTTTCCGTAAC